TCTCAGATGGCTCAGCATCTGAAGGGAGGAGTTGGCCAGGGCAGTGCCATGGCTGTGTGGCGCAGGGACAACCAGCCCACGGAAGACCAGCTCCGGCCAGAGGCCACCGTCTCCTCTGGACGGGCGTGTGGCCAGGCTGGGGGACCTGTGGCCGTGGAAAGCCCTGAGCTGATGGGCCGGAGCTGTGTGGACTCTGAAGACATGTCCTGTTTAAAAGCCCAGCGCCTCGAGAAGTGGTGATGAAGGCAGGTGAGAAGGTGAGAGGGTGAGAGGCCTCGTGGAGACTGGACAGAGGTGGCGAGACCCCTGCCTTTTGGGGCAGGGTAAGGAAAAATGTCAGGCTTTTCTGCCCTCCTGTCATCAGGACAGATGATGGATCCCTGCGGTCCTGAACGCATGCCTGATGGTGGGCACCTGTGGTAGGGTGTGGGCATAGGTAGATGGGCTTTTAAGGGCGGTGTCACAGGGACGCCAGCAGAAGCCGAGAGAGAGAGAGAGAGAGAGAGAGAGAGAGAGAGAGAGAGAGAGAGAGAGAGAGAGAGAGAGGCCGGAGAGCCCAGAGAGTGAAGACTTGCTGGGAGCTGGGAGACCTGCCCGCCTTCTGGCTCCCCGGCACCCCTACCTGCCGTGCACCCGGTAAATCCCAATAAAAGCCTGCAAAAGCCACTGAGGACTCTCTGACTCCTCCTTCATCCGGTCTGCGGGGTCATAGAACACCTGCTCAGTGTCATTCCTGTCCTTACAGGGCTCTGCCAGGAAGAGCAGGCGGCGGCCAGCAGCCCCTCACGCTGGGCAACCTGCAGGCGCAAACAGGACTGAACCAGCGCTGCAGGCAGGAAAGGCAGAGACGCGGGCGCGCCGCGGCAGTCAGGGCGGGTGGACAGTCTAGCCGGGCTCTGGGAGACGGACAGCAAGGTGGGGAAGGTTCACTGTGTTCCCAGGCGCCTTGGGCTGTGAACTGAACCCCAGAACTGGCCCAGAGCCCCCCAGAGGAAGAAGCGGGGCGGCCGGGGAACCCACGGGGGCTGTGGGGCCCGAGCAGGCTCTCAGTCTGGTCTCCGTGGCAGCGAGTGTCGTGCAGGGCAGCAGTGCCAGGGTGATCAAGCCTGAGGTTAGTCTAACCTGCAGGTGGGGGTAGGATGCTCTTGGGGAGACCCGGGGGCATGTTTGAGGGCACGTGCAGCCGCAGGAGCCAGTCCAGTCCCTGAAGACAGGCTGCCCGGCACCTGAGGCTTTGCACGCGCCCCTGTGGTTGTGGACACCCGGAGCGTGGGCGTGCGCACCTGACCTAGAGGCCGGGGCACAAGTGGTGGTGGTAGCGGCCGAGCGGCCGACTGCACAGGCACTGAGGCCAGAGGCAGCGCAGAGGTTAGTGGGGGTCTAGGGGAGCCGGCTGTCCGCCTCCCGGCCCCCTGCCCGGCCGCCCCCACCTGTGTGCCGGGGCCCCAAGAGCATTAAAGCCTGGACAGCCCCCGAGGGCACTGGGTCCCTACCGGCCCGGCTGCCCCGTGCCTGCGGGCACCACACTGTCCCTCGCCTGACGGGCCCCCTCACCCCTGGACGGTGACCCTGCAACACGGTGCTGGAGGACGTGCACCAGGGGCCAGGATGCTGCCTGTGTCCACCTCTGGGTCCCCACGTGGCCACCGGGCCCCGTGTCTGAGGTGCCTCTGAGCGGGTGAGGCCCTCGGGGAGAGCCGCAGCCCGCAGGTCCGGCAGAGCGCGGCTCCCCAAGGGCCTCGCCGGGGGCCGGGCTCCGCTGCAGGACGGTGTGGACGAGGGAGCCGAGGAGGGGCCGGGCGCGTGGCCCAGCCGCCCTGGCCCAGGTGAGACACGCCTGGGGTGGAGGATTGCGGGGCCCGGGTCAGACATCGGGGTGACAGGATATGGGGGCCCAGCTGGGTAAACGGACGGAGCGGGGTTCTGCTGAAATGGGGCTTCCCGAGGGGCGCGGGGCCCTGGACAAGGCTTGGGAGCCGCTGCCATGAGCTCCGTCCCCGCCCAAGGCGGGCAGCTGAGTGCCGGAGGCTCTCGGGCCCGAGCGTGTGGACGCCGCAGGGAGCGCTGCGCTCGCACGGGGCGACGGGGCGGCCTGGCGGATGCCCGCGAGCGTCCCGCCCAGCCCTTCCCATCGGTCAGGGCCTGGAGACCGTCTGCGCCCTGGGAGCCCCGCCTGGCCGGAGGGGCCGCGGCCCTGCCCTGGCGCCCACCGCCCCGGGCCTGGAGGCTACAGCCCAGACGCCCCCGCGGGCTGGCGGCCGAGGCCGGGCTGCCGGGGGACTCTGCTGCGCGGGTGTGGCCAGAGGGCTGGCGCGCGCCGGGCTCTGAAGTGGAATCAAGGAATTTTCCACGTCAGGAAAGTGAAGGGCGGGGTCTGGAAAAGCAGAGTCTTCTCAGAGCTGCTGGCGGCGGCCAGGGTTGGGCTTCCTCCTCCAGGCAGAAGCGGGTTTCCCTCCGGCCACGGCGGAGGGCAGGGCGCCCTGCTGTGAGGACGCCTCCACCTGCCACCTCCAGGGCTTGGGGTCTGCAGGCCCCGCAGGGACACCCCCTGCTCCCCCAAGCCTCCTCCCTGCTGGGGGCTGCCCGGCAGCCCAGGAGCCCCGACACCCCCCTGCATGGAGTGGGGGAGCACAGCCACCCCCATCTCGGGGCAGGTGCCTCCTGAGGCTTTGGGGCCCCTTTGGGCTACTGGGCTGAGCTTCACAGCTTCCAGAACTCGGCGGGAGGCAGCACCTCCAAGCAGTCGGTAGCTCAAGACCACGTGACCCCGGGTCTCGAGGCCGCTGCGGACGTGGTTAGGGCCCGAAGCTCGGCTGGGGGCTCCTCCGGGCCGGTCCTGGCCAGCAAGCCCCCACGGGTCAGGAAGCAGGAGGCAGAGGGGTGGTGCTGGGAAGGCAGCAGACACCCCACCTGAGGGAGCGTCCCCCCTCTGAGGCGGCACCCTGAGGCCTGCAGCAGGGAGGGCCCAGCGTCCCCCGCCCTGGGCGTGGCCGAGGGCTGCGCGACCGCACCTGCGTGGCCCTCCAGGCCCACCTCCAGATGAGGGGCGCTCGGAGGGCGCTCAGGGCGGCGCTCCCCGGCCTGCACCCGGAGCCCCAGGGGCAGGGGGACACGTCGGGGCTGGGCCAGCCGAGGCTGTGGGGGGCGGGACAGCGGAGCCACGCCGCCGCAAACGGAGCATCTGGCAAAACCCGTTAAGTTCTCGAAACACACGTGCTGTCCCGGGACCGGGCGGAGGGACCGCGTGCCAGGGAAGCTGCATCTCCACGAGGGGCCAGGGGGGCCCCGAGGCAGCAGCGCGCAGCCCCTGACCTGGAGGGACACGGGGCCCAGCGGGACCCTGTCTGAGCCCCCACGGGGGCAGGGGCTGGGTGCCGAGGAGGGCACCCACCAACACAGCTGGAGTGACACGGGTGACCTGGCTCCCTGCCACCCCCACAGTGCAGACCACTGGGGCTACCCCGGGCCTGTGCTGCCCTGGGCCCCAGCACCCGCCCAGCACCCACCCAGCACCCAGCCCCAGGGCTCCACCCTTTCTGCTTTGCCTCCTGGGCTCTGAGCGAAACCCCAAGGGCCCAGGAATGTGCTGGGCCCCGACCTCGCCGGTCCTGTCCACCGCACACCCTCCCTGGCCCCGCCTGGCCCGAGACGGCCGGGCCCTGGGAGGACACTGTAAGGCCAGCCTTGGGGGAGGCCCTGCCCTCCCTGCCCTGGCCACTAGGGGGAGGTCCAGCGCGGCCGCAGACGAGGCGACTCCTCTGAGGCCAGGGCTCACCCGTGCCTCGGTTTCCCGCTCTGCACCCGCAGCTTGCACGCTGACCGGGAGGCCGCACCCAGAGTGGTGGCACTGGGAGGAACCAAGTCCCGGACGCCCCCGCCGCCAGGAGGGGTGCTGGGGTGAGGCGGGGCCCGCGGCGAAGTGGCTCCAACACTTGCCCCCCTCCCAGCCCCAAGCACATTTCTGCCTTGAGCTTCATTGCGTGAAGGGGTCCCGGAGGCTGCCCGGCCCGCGGCACGAGGACCGTCCCGGGGTGGGCGTCACATGACCGGGGTGGAGGCCGACACGCCTGGGGCCTCTGGACCTGCCGCGGCCCCTCGGGGAGCCCACACCGCACCCGGGCTAGTCTCGGGGGCTACAGCCCAGACGCTCTCACTGCCCGGGAGCCCCTGGTGCCTCCTCCCCAGACAGCCCTCCGGGGCTGCAGCCTCCACCTCCTTAGCTCAGAGGAGCTCCGCCCGCAGAAGGGATGGGGGCTTGGCCCGAGGCCCAGGCCAGGGCGGGCTTCCCGCCAGCCTCAGGGTACACACCGGCCTCTCCCGCTCTCACGGGCTCCCCGAAGGCCTCTGCTCCCATGGGCGCCCGCACCGGACTCAGCCCGCGGCACGGGGCCTGGAAGGGCGTCTCCCGCTGGACCAGCCTGGGGCTCCACGGTGGCCGCGAGCAGGCAGGCAGGCGCCCCAGAGGGGGCTGCCGTGGTGGGCGCAGCCGGCAGGGCCAGGCCCGGCGGGGGGCGGGGGCGGGGGCTCCAGCCAGCCGCAGGCTCTGCGCCCAAACCACACCCTCTCGGCAAGAACGTCCCCTCCCCGGAGGAGCCCGCCCGCCCGCGCGGGTCTGCCTGGCGCCCGCCCGTCCCCCAGCCTCCCACGGGAACGGGCGTCGCGCTCACCCGGCAGCTCCTGCCGAGCGGACAGACGCCAGACGGCATCGAGCACAACCGGCCCCGGCAGCCTCCACGACCCCCTGGCGGGGGGGTGGGGGAGGGTCCAGGTAGCAGCAGGTGGGGCGGGGGACCCCAGTTGCAGCAGACGGGGGTGCCCGGTGCGGGCCGCCGCGCCAGGGACAGCCGGGACGCCCTGCCTCCTCCTGGAGCGCGCCCCCGGCGGGTGGCGGGTGTGCGGGGCGCCCGCGGCTCAGCGTCAGCGCCACCCCTGGGGGACGCGCGGCGGGGGGGGGGGGGGCACGGGGGCGGGCGCGGGCTGGCAGAGGCGTGTGGGGGAGGGAAGCGGTTTTATTTCCTGAGTCCCGAAGCAGCCGCTGCAGCCCGTGGCACGGGGCCCGCTGGGCCAGGCGCCCCCGCGTCCCCGCGATCTCCAGGACAGAGCCCGGGGCTCCAGAGCCACGGCGCCCTGGCTCATCCCGGCAGGCCGCGCCAGCCCCGTCCTCCGGCCGCGCTTCCAGTCACGAGGCCGCTCACTTCAGCCAGATCCACGTGTCGCCCACGTCCTCGTTGTACCCGGGGCGGTACCTGCGGCCCGGCAGCTGCGGGGGGAGAGGCGTGGTCACCACGAGCCGCGGGGCCCCGCCACGGACGAGGGTGACCCGGCCGTCTCGCGCTCTGCCTCGCCCTCCAGGCCGGGACCCCAACCTCGGCGCGGAAGGGCGCCGGCGGGACACGCCCGCGGGCAGGAGGAAAGCGAGGCCGGGCTGAGGCACGGGCACCCTGGGCCGGCAGCACTCAGGGTCCACCCCGCCGGCCGGGCGCCCTGCCAGAAGTGGGGCAGGCGCCACCCCTTGGGGGCCAGCCTCCCGGGGCACCTCTCGGGGTGGAAGCCGTCGAGCTCCCAGACTCCTCTGGGGCACGCAGGTGCCCCGAGCCCGAGCCGTGCTCACTTGGGTCAGCGGGGGCCGAGGGCGGCCTGGACACAGGACACAGCCAGCCCCGCCCGCCCGTGCCCGACCCAGTGCCAAGCGCTCCAGGGGGCCGCCGGCCTCCCCTCACCCCGGGGCCAGCCCCGCACCAGGTGGCAGCCTGACTGCTGCTCCGGGCGCCCTGGGCCCTGCACCCTCCTGCTCCGTGCCACACCCCCGAGCTGCACAGGCTGCCAGGAGCCTCAAAGGAGGGGCAAGCAAGCGGGACGTGGGGGCCAGTGTCAGGGCCAGGGGCACGGGAATATGAAAGGAGAAAGGGGCCCCAGCTCCCCGGAGCTCGCGGCTGGGGAGGCGGGGGGGGGGGGGGGGCGGGGGGGGGCAGGCTGAGGACTCGAGCGAGCCTGCAGGCCCCTCCCGGCCGCCCCCACCCGCACCCGAAACGCGCCCGAGCGTCCGTCCTTCGTGACCTCCGTGACTGAAGGGCCCGCGGCCCACAGGTGAGGGCACAGTCGCCCCTCGGGGCGGGCCCGTGTCCTCCAGCGCAGCAGCGCCCTGGGACGCCCGTCAAGGGCCGACAGTTCGGCTCTGAGCTCATCGCGCTGAGAGAGGGCGGAACCAGAGCAGAGCACCCCCGCCAGAGAGGCAAGCTGCGAGATCGGGGGTGTGCCCACCCCGGGCCCGGCCCGCACACTCAGGCCCTGACACCCTGCGGGGGCTCCACCCGGAGCATCCCACACTGAGGAGGGGCGAACCGCGCCGTCCACCCAGCCCGCGCCGGCACCCGCTCTTCAAGCAACTGCACCGCCAAAGCCGGGCCCGCGGCCACCGGGGACTCTGGGAGGAATCCCGGCCGCGCCCGTGCACGCCGCCACGGAGGGCGGCCCAGCAGGGCCTGGTGCGGGGCGCGGCTGCCCTACTCCGGACGCAGGCCTGGCCGGCCCAGTTCCCTGCTCCCTGAGCCGCTCCGGCTCCCGCTTCCCTCTCGCAGGCGCGCGCATTCCCGGAGAAATCTCACTGACGGGAGGCGCCTCCGCGTGCCCTTCTGGTTTCACGCAAACAGGCCGTGTAGACGCCAGGGCCCGTCACGACTGAAGAGGCGAGTGTGAGGAGCGACAGTCTCTGGCAGGACTCAGGGCACCCCCGGAGGGCGCAAGGGTGGGAGCGCGCGGGGCGGGGCGGGTGCCTCCCAGTGCTAACAGCGTGAGGCCCCCGTCATGCTTGATTTAAACCAAGACTGAAAGAACAGGAGGACCCCGGCCCTGCCCCCACCCCGTCCTGGCAGCCTCCGCCCGGAGGGCACAGGCGAAGGGCCTGGACCAGGCTCCCGGGGCAGGGGGGGTCACTCTCCCCGGTACGCTTCGTACACACAGCCGTGTCCTTCCTTCCTCCGGACACGCAGGGTGGCGGCTGCCCGTGGGGAGCCCCTGGCAGGCGGCCGCGGCCGTTTCGGGAAGCGGAGCTGCTTCAGAAAGAACAAGGAGCCGAGAGATGCTGATGGAGCAACCGGGACACGTCACTGACTGTGCAGAAGGCGGCCCGGCGGCGGCTGCTACGGGTCACACGGCCTCCCCGGTGGCTCCTGCAGGCCACTGCCCCGCCCGCTGACGGCTCTGGACCCCAGGGCCCGGCCTGCAAAGCCCAAACTAGCCACTCGCTGGCTCGCCACAGAGACATCTGCCAGGGGCCCAGGAGGAAGCGAGCTCGGTGGCTACAGGCTGGAAGCCCGTCTGGCCACTCAGTGCGTGTGGCCTGCCCCACTGGGACTGGCTGCGTGGCGCATACAGGAGGATGAGGCCGCCCCGGGGGCCGGGAGCTCAGGGGTGCAGGGGCAGCTGGCACGGGCAGCTGGGGCGCCAAGCGCTGGGGTGAGCTGCTTTTGTTAAGGGTGTCTCTACGCGTGCCACAGGCCAGCCAGGTGTGCGGGCGCAGCGCTGGGACAGAGGCCCCGGGAGACCTCTGGCCGTGCTGACGTGCGAGGCTGAGCTCCGAGAACCACCAGGGGCCCAGCACGAGGAACGCTGGGAAGCAAAGCCGCCGGGGGTGGGGATGCAGGCGGGTGAGTCCACCATGACTGGGCCTCGCTGAAGAGCGTGCCCTCGTGTGACAGGGAGGTAGGCGGGAAGCCCCAGCAGAAAGGCGCTCTCAGCGGGCCCCGAGCGCCACTGCAGCCAGCTCCGGCGGGTGGGCCCCAGGCCTGCAGGCCCTGCAGGGATGCCTATGCAGCTGGGCCACCCGTGTCCCTTCTGCCCAGGAGACGTAAATGCCCACGACGCAAGCACGTCGTCCCCACAGTCTCCACAAGACAGAAGGAGCAGGCGCTGCGTGGGTCAGGCCTCCCGCCCGGGAACAGGCCTCCCGGAGGAAGAGTTCCCGAGCCGCGGGAGAGTGGGCACTGCCGGGCCTGCACGCCGGGAGCGGGGCAAGGGTAGCTCGCGCAGCACAGAGGCCTGGGCGCCAGCACCACTCCCGGCAGAGCCCCTGAGGACGGCGAGGGGCCTCCGACTGCAGGAGGACGCTGCCAAGAGCCCTGACCGGTGCCGATGCCTACGGCAGCCCAGCCTCAAAACCTGGGGAAACCGCCTGGACAGGCCGAGGGGAGGAGGCTCCACAGAGGCCAGGAGGCCACGGCCCCCGCACAGCAGAGCTGCACGACCCCAGAGCGACGCCCCGGCCTCCCCGCACCTACCTCCGTGAACCGGCGGAAGACACGGTCACTCTGGTGGGCGCCGATGGTGAGCTCCGGGAGGTAGACGGGGATCGTCGTGTAGTTCAGCACCTCCAGCTTGTTCTGAACCCTGAAAAGAACAAGAACACGATGACACGAAGCCAGAACCAGGTGCGGTGAGTACGAGGCTGGCGTCGGAAATCTCCGTGGTGAGAGGTCACGCGTTGACCGTCACGCCCAGCAGCCAGGCAGGAGGAAAGCGTCACCCCCGGGCCCCCGGCCCACAGGGAGCTGCGCGTCCCCCAGGGCCACACGAGTGGGCACAGCCGCTCCCGGCCGCCCCCTAGACGTGGAAGGGCTTGGGAAACCAGAAGGCAGGTGCGCCAAGCCGCGGGCAGCGGGGAGGGCCAGATGCAGGCCACACGTCACCGTGCACTCGGCTCCACGAAGGTCCACACGCGAACACCTGTCGCAGAACAAGCAGCGACTGAGCTCCAGACCCCGGGGTCGCCTTCCGACAGGCGCGGGACCTGAGGCCAACACCGTCTAAGCAGACGCAGGACCCCAGGCCACACGGCAGGGAGCCGGGCTGTCCTGTCCCAACGGAAGGCCGCAGGACCCCCTGGCCACACCCGTTCTGCTGAAACACGTGTCGTGCTGTCAATTGTCCATCTCAAGTTTAGCCTGAAGCAGCTGCCACCCCCGAAGATGAAGGCATTCTGGGGGCTTCCAGTGAAAACCGTTACAAAAAATCTCTTCTCCGGGGCTTGAGACAAAGCCGGCAGCGCAGGACCGCTCTCCCGTCCCCGAGGGCCACGGCAGGAGGAGGTGAAAGGGGCAGTCGGGGATGCGGGGTGGAGCCCGCGCCTCCGGCCCCCAGCACACCAGGCCGGCCCGGCGCCCTCCCAGAGCACCAAGGGCACCAAGAAACCGGAAGAGGCTGAGGGGAGCCCCGGCGCCCCCGTAAAGGCCACACTGCTGCAGCGCAGATGGGTGACCCCGCGCCCGGGGGAGCACCAGGCCCCTCCCCAGAACTGTGCTGCCTGCGGGGCCCACGGCTGTAGGCCCGTGCCCAGAGGAGGCCCCAGGGCGGGCCCCCACCCTCAGCCTACAGAGCTGCAACCTGGACAAGCGCGGGTCCCCCTGAGGAGAGGCTCACCCTGTGCTCGCTGCGCAAGGTGATGCAGAGCCCTGAGGCCCAGGGCCAGGCCTCACACGCTAGCAGACTCGAGGTGGGGGAGGAGCTGGGCTTCCCTGGTTTGAAAAACCGAGAAAAATTCTGGAACATCTGACAGGGCGAGTGGCCCGGAAGCGCGCAGAGCAGCAGCGCCACCTGTGGCTCGTGGGGCGGCACTGCACGCACAGGGCCCGGGCGGCCCTCACCCCCGGGGCAGACACGCCGGAACCCGAGAGGAGGGCGGGAGAGCCCCTCCCCAGAGCGCCCGTCTAGCGAGACCACAGTCCCGCGTCCTGCCCTACCCCGCTCCAGGGCGGAGGCAGCAGGAGGGCGGGGGGCTGGAGGGCAACTTCCCAACCCCCCAACTCTGGTGCCGCCTCCTCCCTGGCCCCGCACTGGCCCACCCCGGGCAAACCCTCTGCTCGGGCACCGCAGAGCCCGCAGCGCCTGTGGTGGGGAGGCCCGGCCGGGCGGAGGAAGGGTGGGCACGCGGTGAGGCGGCCACGGCGGCGTGAGCCCAAGCCGCTGGCCAGGGCAGAGCACAGGCGCCTCCAGGCACGGGCACGTCACCCCGACACGCCCGGCCAGCATGCAAGGCTCGCGGGTGGCCTGGCCGGGCTCGGGGCGGGGTGAGACCGGCAGGGAAACTCGTGGCCACCGCCTCAGGAAACGGGCCACCGTCTCCCCCGAATCCTCCTGACTACGGCCGGCGCGGGGCAGAGCACGGCGCCGCCGCGGCCTGTCACGGACCCCCGGGGAGGGAGGACAAGCCCACGGGCAGACACGGACCCAACGGGACGACGTGACGGTGGGCGTGGCCCCCCACATTCTCACGACCGGACAACTGGCCCCGACTCGAGGACCGCGGAAGCCGTCCCGGCCATGCTCAGAAGGGGCGGCTGGCCACTCGGCCCACTCCCACCTCCGAGGGGAGCCGCGCCCCGGCCCCAGCAGCTGCGACCCCTGCCGCGAGCACCCGCGCACCCTCGGAGCCCCGCCTGGAGGCGGCGGCTCGGGCAGCGGTGGGCCGTCGGCTCAGGGAACCCCGGGCCCAGGCAGTGGCCGGGCAGGGGGTGGTCGGAGGCGCCAGAAGGCGCATCCTCCACGGGTCCTGGGAAAGGAACCCGGCCTCACGAGCACCACAGACGGGCCCTGCAGGCCGCCGGGAGGGAGCAGGCCGGGGTGCGGCGGAGACGGAGGCCGGGAGCGGGCCCGGGGCGCCAGAGGCAGGAAGGGGGGCGGGGGGCATCACCACAGAGCAACACAGCAGCCTGGCGGGGCTTGGCCAAGCCGGGGCGGGGGACCCGAGCGGGCAACGGCCGACCGAGGCCGCGACGACCCCACAGGGAGTCAGGCCAGAGCCGCGGCGGGGAGCATCGGGCCGTGGCGGGGAGCCGCTCTCGGACCTGTACAGTAAAGGGAGCCCCCGCCCCCAGGGGTGCCGTGGAGTCAGGAGACGCTTCCAAACACCATTGTGCCGAGCCGACACCTCGCACCCCCCGCGCCCGGCAGGCCCTGCAGACGGTCGCTCGCTGTCGCCCCGCGGCGGGAGCCCACGTGTCCCCCGGGCTTCCCCAAGCGCAGCCGGCCTGGCCAGTGGGGAGCGGCGGGCGGGCTCCCAGGCGCCAGACGGGGGCGCGGCGGGCGGGCTCCCAGGCGCCAGACGGGGGCGCGGCGCTTTCTGGGCTCCCCGAGCTGGGGCCACCGGGCCGGAGGGTGTCTGGCCCAGGCTGCCGCCTGCCACTCCGCCTGGATGTCGCCTCTGCGCGGTGACGGCGCCCGGGCAGGAAGGAGGTGCCCCCTTCTCCCCGCCCCACCCCTCCCGTGCAAGCCCGCACTGTGCCCCGCACCTCTGGGCTCACGCCCTGCAGCCGGCGGGGACCCGCCCCCGCAAGCCTGCCCGATGGGCATGCCGCGGCTAAGCACCCCCTGCCCGCGCCAGAGCAGGGAACGGGCCGTCCGAAGGGGCGGGAAGCCGCAGCCGACGGCGCCCGGACGCGCGGACCGGGAGCTGCCGCGCAGATGAAGTGCCCGCCTGCCAGGCCGCCCCGCCCGCCGACTCACAGCATCCGCAGGCGGTGCAGCGTGCGGTCGTCCTGCTCGAGCCAAGGCCCCTTGTCGTGCTTGAGGTAGTCGATGTCCTCCGCCACCTAGACAGAGCAGCGCCGCCGTGAGGCCTGGCCGGCACCCAGGGATGCGGCTGAGCGCGCCGCGCTGCGAGTGCCTCGTGGGGGACTCTGTAGGCGAGAAGCCAGACAGACGGCCGGGGGGAGCCCCGGGGCCGCCTGCCGGCCCTCGATGGGGCGCCCCGCCCGCCACTCAGGGCCACAGGGGTGCTAGCCTGTCCTGAGCCAGCTGCCTGTCCTCTGGGGTCAGGGCTCTGCGGCCCTGGGCAGCGTAGACACTGCCCCCAGGCTGGGGGAGGGGCGGGGAGCACCCAGAGACCCAGGAGCAAGCCCCGTCCCGGAGCACCCAGAGACCCAGGACCTAGGTTTTGGGGGCAGGGGAGGTCCTTCCTGGTACATTTTCTCCTCAAAAGGTGCCAAACTCGGGGAGCGCTCCGCAGGTCTCCAGGGGCACTCCTCAGCCGCAGCCCCCAGCCGCAGGCCCAAACGGAATCAGAAAGAAAACTAAGAGCTGCGCGCAGACACAGCAGGCCGGGAGGGGCAGGAGGTGGGGCTGCCTCAGGGGGGCCGGAGCCAGGTGGGGGCGCCACAGGGCTGTCTGAGGGCGTGTCCTCTGGGGTCAGCTGCTGGGGTGCCCCCTCCCCGGGAGCCGTGTGGGTGCGCCCGAGTCCCCCCGGCGTGCCCGGCAGCACGGGCGGCTCTCGAGCCTCTGAGACCCCGCCCGGGAGCCTGCCGGCCCAGCGCCTCGGAAGAGACACTGTCACTCTCTGTGGACGCCGCGCCCCGCCGTCCCACACGCGGGGGTGGGAGCAGGGAAGCCGGGCTCTTGTAGCCCACACTCCGCGGCTTCTGGGCCACGGGAACGGAAGCACTCAAGAAAAACGGAAGCCTCGCGACCAGAGGGGGCCGAGTTGCCTTTCACCGACAAAGCCCAGCGGGAACGGCCCCGAGGATCCGACCGGCAAGAACCTCAGCCCGGAACCAAGCCTCAGGCAGCGGCGACCCGTCACCTTCACAGCATCCTGCGCTTCCCGCCAGCTGTACTGCAAAACCTCGCACTTCTCACTGCAAGAAAAAGCAAGAGGGAGGTCGAGGCCCATTCCCGAGCGCGGGCAAACGCGGAGAGCAACGCACAACGTTCCTGCACCACGCGAGGCCGCCGGCCCCAGGAAGCACACAGGCGCGGGGCCCGGCCCGGGCTGCCAGGCGCAGCAGGCCCCAGGCCTTAGCCTGACGCTCAGAGTGACGCGGGGTCCCCATGAAAGAAGAGACAGTGACCCCGATCACACCGTCTGCCGGGTCCCCCATCCCTGAGCCCGCAGCGGCGCGGCGGCCAAGAGACAGCGACCAACCGGCCCCAGTGGGCTGGATCCAAGAGCGGCTGCCTCGGCCTCCCTCAGCGGAGGTGAACCCGGCGGGAGGCCCACCAGGTGGCGCTGCAGGACAACACCCGGGGCCTCGCCAGGGCAGCAGCCCGGACATCTACTGCACCCCACAGATTCTTGGCCTGCAGCAGAGCGCCCTCCCCTGGGGTGGAGACCTAGGAGCACCCCGAGAATCCCCACTCAGCCTGAAGCCACGTGGCCCCACGCCGGTGGTCAAACTGAGTCTGCTAAGCGCCTCCAACAGGCCACAGTCTCAGAAGGGAGCCCCTGGGCGGCCCGTGCTCAGGACCTGCTGCTTAACAATGTTGAACTTAAAACCAAAATTTTCTAATAAAAATAAAGTGAAAATTAAAGCTTCTTCCAAAATGACTAGACCATATGGTTTTGCTCACTATTTTATAGTCACCTTCCAACTCTCAAGGACAGGAACGCGAGGTTTTTAGGTATCAAGGGATGCTTTAGTTTTTAAAAACTTTGAAAGCTCCCACCAGAAATCCTCAGCACAGCGCCGCCCCCCCCCCCCAACATGGGCTGGGCCCGGGGACGGCAGTGCTGACCTCCAAGGACCAGAGTGGCCAGCAGGACCATAGGGGAGAAGCGCCTTCCTGGGCTTTCAAGTTAGAGGGAAAGGCTGTGGGTGCCCCCGCCTACCCAAGCGCCACCCAGAGGTGCCCTCTGAAGGGCCCCCGGGCCTGTGCCCCAGGAGCTCTTTGGGGCCTAGCTGAGCCACGCCAAGAGCCCTCCCGGGGTGTCTGAGCGTCACAAGGTGTCAGGACAGCGCCCCCGATGCTCGGCTGTCACGGGACAGCTTCGGTTTACTTCAGCAGCAAGTCAAACTAAACGCCACGTAACAAGAAGAGCAGCAACAGAATAAGCAAACCCCAAAGCAACCCCCCAAAAAGGCCGCCTCCCCATGAGGACCCGCCACCACCCAGGTGCGCGCGGGGTGCAGACACACCTCATCTCGGGGAGGAAGGCCGTCTTGTAAGCTCGTTCGATGTCCTGCAGGTAGGCCGGGCTGACCTTCGTCTCATGCGGCTAGAGAGAGACGCGACTGTGAGGCAGGCCCTGCCCATCCGCCAGGCTCCCGGGCCCCTCTGGCACAGAGCGCCCCAGTGGGCCTGCCCGCCCCCCATGCCTTCCTCCCAGCAACTGCGTTGCCGCAGGGGACCGTGGGAGCAGATAGAACGGGGACTCAGCACTTGATAAAAGGGCCCATTAAAGCATTTGGACACGGCACTTAGATAGACAGCGGTTTCCTTTAAAAAGCCACCACCAAGAAAGGAGAGACGACAAAGTGGAGACCGCAGACTGCCGAGGCCCCTGCCTGCTGGCAGCACGTCCTCCTCCTCAAACACAGGGCAACTCGCTGCTGGCGACGCTCTTCAAAGGCTTCGGCTGGGGAAGTTCCCGGCCGGAACCGGCCCTCAGAGCGTCCTTAACCCATCGCTAACCCGGGTCACAGAAGTTATCCAGAGAATTCTGAACACGCTTTCGCTTTTCTCAGTAACTGTCACTGGAACGAGCAAAGCTGTTCTGCTGAGAACGAGTTTTGGCCGCTGCGCGTAAGGGTAAGCCCCGGCAGGTGACGGGCACAGAACGGCAACAGATAGGGACGGACAGACGCCGGGGCAGCGGGTCTCGGGCCCGGGAGTGACGGACTGCACCAAGGACCAGCCCAGAAGAGCAGGCCACAGGCAGCTGTGTCCTCACCCCCGTGTCGAGGACCTGAGATGCCCCCAGACGAGCCCTGCTAGGTGGGAATGATGTTTCCAAACAGGCACCAGTCACAGGACAGACAGCCCTGGTCAGGACAGGCCCTGCCCCCGCCCCGTGCCCGAGGCAAGTGCAGCGCTTCGGGGCCACCAGCTCAGGCCACGCGGGCGGTGCAGAGGACACTGAACAGTGAGTGGGGCGCGGACGGGGGCCCCTCGGAGGGAATGGCCGGGGACGCTGAGCAGGGGACGCTGGAACTCGCCGTCAACTGAGGAGAAAGACGGGGCACGAAGACCCCGGGAGAAGGGACTTGTCTGGACTTGTCTGGAGACCTCAGCCAGGCCCGCAGGCAGGGCTGGCCGGGAGCGAGCCCCGGGGACCCGCGGGCAGGAATGAGGGCAGAATTACATCTCCCTTCTTCTGGATGCGACTCTGGATCTCGGGAACGGGCGTGTCAATGTAGATGACCACGTGCGGAGGCAGGTACTCGCAGAGGGTGACCTTCTTCACATCGTAGTAGTGGTCCACGCCTGGGAGGTGAGAGAGCTGTCAGCAACATTCCCCTGGCTGAGCCTGCTCCCCCTTAAAGGAAGGGCAGACAGGAGGCGATTCTCAGAATCAGGTGCCAGCATGCGTGTCGGGGGCGTCACTCTTCAAGGACGCCGTCCCTGCCGCCCCCCCTGCCCCCCAGCTGCCTCTACACACCCCGGGGCATCTGCCCTTTATGGCTATTACCCATCCGCATCGCCTGGCCAGCCCTGGGAAGGAAGCCTGCAGCGGGAACCTCGGCCTGGCGCTCAGGGCAGAGCCTGGCCAGGGGCACGGCAGAAACAACTGAGCTCTGTGGCTGCTCCGGGTGGGTGAGGCCCAGAGTTGGGGTCTGCAACAGGCCCCCACTCCTGCCGCATGTGCACACCACCATTGCCCCACACAGCGGGCCGAGCGGCAGTGCCCCTCCCAGCCACCACTGGGCCGCCGCCAACATACTCGCCGGCCAGGGACACTCACTCGACCTTTCAGGCCTCGGCTGCCCACCAGCTCTGGCCAGCCTGTGCAGGTGGGATCAGGCTCTGCCAACGCACTGGCACACTCTCGTCCAGACACCTGGCCCTCCGGGTCATGCGCCCCTTATTCGTCACGGCGCATGTTTAACTGGAGGCCGTGATTCTTACCCATGGGCCACTGTCCACTGCCCAAGCTACCCAGCCTGGCGTTACTATTGACACAGCCTGCACGGCAGAGAAGCGAAGGCCACCCAAGGCTGCCTGGGCGCAGGGAGGCAGGGGACAAGGCCTCAAGTCAGACGCTGCGTGCTCAGTGACGTCAACCCCAGCGCGCAGAAGGGCCGCTCGGGCACTCTGCCGGGCTGGGCTTCCAGGCAGTCGGGGCGGCTGGGTGTGCAGGAGCCTGGCGCCACTCTGGCCGGGGGGACGCGAGCTCAGGAGGGGGGCGAGGAGGTGCCTGTCCCCTGGACCCTGCCCACCAACTCACACTGCTTCCGGATGAAGCCCTGCTTGTACATGGCCTCCACGAACACGAAGTCGCTGTAGACGGAGCGCTCCAGCACGACCCCTTGCCCTGCAGAGACACGGGGGCACGGTGAGCCAGAGCCCAGAGCACTGGACACCGGGGCACAGTGCGCTCTAGAGAGGGGGAGACCCTTCACAACCCCATTTCCAAGCCAAGTATTTCCCAGAGATCATAGATGCACTTCCGTGCACGAAATCACTTCCCAATCCACAGCGCAGCCACACAGGCCGTAAACCTCACCCCAGCGTGCAAAAATGCAGGACCCAGGACCCCACTCGGCAGTGTTGTGTGGCCTGGGGTGTCCTGATTGTCCCCCAAGCAGTGCTGGGGAAAAGCTCGACCCCCCCAGCCAGCCACAGCGCGGGGGGGCACACCTGTGCTCAGCAGGTGCTCCAGGGCGTCGGCGTACTGCAGCAGGCGGCTCGCATACAGCCAGGCCTGCAGGCGGTAGCTGTTGCCGTCTTTGCTCCGGGGGTCATCATAGAACTTCTCCAGGCTGCAGTTGCCACTGAACTCGACGCTCAGGGGCCGCCCGTCCCCCGTGGTGCTGTCCGCGTAGTGGATCCCGGCCTCGGGGAAGTGCTTCAGGCCTAGGAGAAAAGACTCGCATGAGGCCCGAGGGCGCGGCCGGCTTTGGTGGCCAGCAGGGCCCAGAGCACCCAGGCTGTCCGCACGGCGCACTGGGAGGGAGGGAGGAAGCCACGCACGTAATGGACTTTTGCACAAGTTTGGCTTAATGTGTAGCGTGCAAACAGCGGGAATCAGTGCGCAAAGCCTGCAAGAATCGATGCATGGCAGACAAGGGCGCGAGCCACGGGCTCTGCAGCTGCCCACTCTCCCCTGCACCGAGTGGTCGGGAGAGAGCAGCCCGCAGCCCTCCACAGCTCGCACGCCGCTCTCCTGCCACGCCCCTGGCCTACAACTGCCGCTTCGGGGTCCTGTCTTCTGTCTTCCGAGGCTCACAAACCGCAGCCCGCCGGGCACGCCGTCAGGCAGCAGGAGCACGTACCCAGCTTCTCCGCTATGCCTCTGGCGAGCTGGCCTTTCCCAGAGCATATGTTGCCATCCACAGTTATCACTTTGCTGTATTCTGTCAGCTTTTTCGACGCCCTGTCGCCGAGCACGAACGCCAAGGGGCCGTACTGCAGCTGGCACGGCCCGCTCGTGTGCAGTCCTCCCTGCAAAACACAACGGCACACGGCCGTGAGGTGCGGACGTGGCAAGCGTTGCCCCCGCCGGGTCAGAGCGCCATGGTGACCGTGGTTCCAACAGGCCCGCTTCAACGCCCTCACCACCTGTGTAAGCATAGTGTGAGTGCGTGGGCGGGTCGAGCCCTCGGCGCCGGGGCCAGGGAGGGCTGCCACGGTCAGTGGGAGTCAGGGGTGGGAGAAGCAATGTGAGGGGTGGCTGGGACTAAAGAGCGTTTCTCCAGCGCATGCTCTGTCCTGAGCGCCAGACGGTCCCACCAGACACCCCAAGGGCACCAACAGCTCCTAGGCCAGACCCCTACACCCCCTGCCCCGCCCCCCGCACCGCCATCCACGACCCTCCAGGGAATACGGGGCAGGCAGGGTGCCAGCCTGATCGCCAGCTCCACCATCACACACGCCACCCTCTGGCCCTACCCCGGAAGCTCTCTCCGCCTGGGTGCTGGCTGCGATGGCCCCCCGTCACCTACGAGCCAGGCCGCCTGCCTCGTCGCCCGTCTCCAGCTGCCCTCCCTGCTTCAAGACAGAGAAAGAACAACTGGAAGAGAACTGAAACAACGGAGAAAAGGGCGCAGCGAGGAGGGGCAGCCTGGCACAGTGTGTGGAGACTGGCACCTGGTCGGGCACACGCAACACCTTTAAAGCCTTAAACACGGCTGATGCCCCGTGCCAAGGGCCCAGCCCTGCGGCGAGGAGCAGGTCGCCAGGAGGGGCGCTCCGCACACACAGACGGAGGAACACTGCTCTTCAGAGGGCGACGTGGGACGGCACGGCGTTCCCCGACGCCCAACCCAGACGCGAACCTACAGGCTGAGCCTGGAGGCCTCGGCATCTGTCCAGCGGGGACAAGGGCCAGCAACGCAGCGGACTAGCAAGCGGCAGCCGGCGCCAAAGCTCGCCTACTTCAGCAGCAGCTTGCGGCGCGCCACGTACCCAGCAGGGCTTGTCAGGAGCCCAGCACGCACACAGCGCTCTCTCTAAACACAGACCTCCGCAGGGAGCCAAACGACGCCAGGCTAACCAACGGAACGGCAAGCAAGGGCGCAGCACATTCCGGAGCAGCTGGGGAAGGGGCTGTAGGTTAACAGGGTGACTGCGGCGCCCTCCCGGGTCCCCAGGCGGAGGGAACCGGCCACGTGGACCTTCGGCGTTTCTAGCAGAAGTTCGAGTAAGCGAACACCTGGAGGCAGTAGCGCTGCAAGTATCAGCAAGGCCAGTGCAGCTGGCACCCAGCAGGGTGGGAGGCGGAATGGAAGGCATGGATGCCCTCCACCCCAGACACCGGCCTCTCTCCTGAGACCGCCAGCGGGCACGGGGGATGCCACACCTTGGCTCAGAGCACGGGCCATGGTGTTCCAATCAACCAGCCTTTTCCCGACTTCAAAACCTTTAGGGAAAAGTGCTCTCTGACAAGAACCCTGGGGGTCTCTCCAGAACTCCCCACCCGCAGCCCCATCCTCCGGAGTCACTAGGAACAACTGATCTTTCACGACACGTTTCCATTCCCCCGACTAGTCCTCAAAGAGCCAGGTGCGCCCCGCTCGTCTCACCGGTTTCTGGGAGTGCTTATGTCCACCGGGGCCACGGGACAGAGCAGAGTGGACGGCGCTGCAGGCGGCCCCGGTGGCCGGCCAGGCCGGAGTGGCCCTCCACTCCGCAGCCCTCGCTTCCACGGACAGCCCCCGCAGAGCGGGCATCGCCACACCCACTCCTCTTGCGCGGTCTCCTCTCCTGGAGCCGCTGTCTCCTGCAGGCGCCGTCGCGCCCTTTCCGTGACACTGTCACACGCGTCCGTTCAAAATCTCGGGCGTGGGGGTCACGTCCCCCCCCAGTTTCGCGCCAGCGTAGCCCCGGCCGCTCGTAAGCAAAGCGGCGACGACACAGCAGCCACAAGACGCCGCCGACCAGCCGGTTCTCCGCGGCTCGGCTCGGCGCGAGTCACGCCCTCCCGCCGCTCGGGCTCAGGCGGCCCCCGGTCTCCCGCAGCCTTAACCTTCCCGGCTCCCGGCCCCCCGGGGCTGCTGGAAGGAGGGACCCCCCGCCCCGCGCCCCGCTGGGCGGCCTTGGACCCCGCCTCTGCCCGGAGCCGAGAAAAAGGCCGGGAGCTCGCCGGCCTCGGACGAACCGAGCGCCACTCAGGGCGCTCCCGGAGGGCGGAGACCCAGCGAGGGAGGCCGGGGCCGCGGGGGTGAGGGGGCCGCGGGGTGAGGGGGCCGCGGGGGTGAGGGGGCCGCGGGGGTGAGGGGGCCGCGGGGCCGCGGGGGTGAGGAAGAAGCCCCGGGGGTGAGGAGCCCCGGGCGAAGAACAGTCCAGGACGCGCCGCGCTCACCACGCGCTGGGCGGCCGCCGCGGGGCTCCGCGCCGCCGCGGTCGCGGGGACGAGTCTCAGCAGCCTCAAGGCCATGGCTCCGCGGGCGGCACCGGCTCAAGGACCCGAGGGGACGCGGCGGCGACGGGGTCCTCTCTGGGGCCGGCGCGCCGCTGTGACGTCACGGCAGGGTGCCCGCGCGGCGCCTGCCGGATCAGCGCGCGGCAGCCACTGCGCAGGCGCAGGAGCCGGCGGGTCCCCGGCTCCAGCCCTCCCCCACTCCCTCCCCCCTCCCGCCCCAGCCCTCCCCCTCCCGCCCCCGTCCCGCCCCAGCCCTCCCCCTCCCGCCCCAGCCTGCCCCGCCGTCCCACCCCCCCCCCCCCGCCCCAGCCCTCCCCCTTCTGCCCAGCCCTCCTCCCCCTCTCCTCCCCCTCTTTCTCCCCCCGCCCTCCTCCCCATTCCCCCTCCCCCCGCCCTCCTCCCCTCCTCCCCATCCCTCCTCCCCTTCCCCTCCAGCCCGCCTCCCCCTCCCCCGCCTTCCTCCCCCTCCTCCCCCCGCCCTCCTCCCCCCTCCTCCCCCCCGTCCTCCTCCCCCCCCCGCCCTCCTCCCCCTCCCCCCAGCCGCCTCCCCCTCCCCGGCGATGGGCGCGCACAGGCCCCGGGGCCCCGCCCTGGCGTGGAGGGGCTGCGCCCGGCCAGTGCCCACCTCGGTGGAGGCGGCCCCGCCCCACAGTGACGCGACGGGGCTGCTCCCGGCCGGCCGGGAGTCGGGGCGCAGGGACCGGGCGCCCCCCAGCCAGGGGCAAAGGGCTTGCGAGCGCGTCGGGCGGAACCGCCCTGGCCGCCCGGACCGCCCTGGCCACCGGGACCGCCCTGGCCGCCCGGACCGCCCTGGCCACCGGGACCGCCCTGGCCGCCCGGACCGCCCTGGCCGCCCGGACCGCCCTGGCCACCGGGACCGCCCTGGCCGCCCGGACGCCGCGGGCGAGGCGCGGGCCTGCGGCGGGGACTCGGCCTCCCGGGCGGCCCGGGACAGCTGGGCGAGGGCGGAGGCCGCGGCCCGGGGCCGGCGGGCGAGCGGGGACACGCGGCGAGGAGCGGCCGCGGTCTGGAGGCCCCGGGCTGCCCCTGGGCCCGCAGCGGGCAGCGCCCGCCCAGCTTCGGGGGAGCGAGGGGCGGGCGGGCCGGCCTGTGCGCGGCCTGCGGGCGCCGACCCGCTCGCGCCTGCCCCTCCTCGGCCGCCGGGGCTGGCTTTGCGGGGAGCCCGTCCCCTGGGGCGTAAAGGGCCTGGAGAGGAAGCAAAGGACACGGGCCCGTCGGCCGGGCCGGACACGCGGGCCGCCGCTGCGCCGCAGGCCCCTGCTCACCGCCGGGTGAACGGCCGAGGCTTGTCCTGAGTCCCGCGCTGTCCTCGCCCGGGCACCGCCTGTCCCGCCTCGACGCCGGCTTCCCGGGACGCCCCGAGACGGGGGAGGCGGCCGGGGGCAGAGTGAGCTGGACGCTGCAGCGAGCGCAGGGCCGAAGCGCCCGGAGTGGGAGGTCCTGGTGGGACGGTCAGGAGAGGGAGCGGGGCGGCGGGGTCCACCTCCCTGCCGGGTCCCCTCCCGAGGGCCCACCTGGTGGTCACTGGGCCACCTGGACGCCGAGGTCCAGCTCCGAGGCCCTCCCACGGCCGGTAGTGCCTGGACTAGTGCAGTCAAAACTGCGTCCCCTCGGGCAGCAGGACCGGCTTTCGCCCCAGCGCGCGCTCCCGTGCCGGCCATCTGCAAAGGCTGCGCGTCCTCAGGCTTGTCGTCCACGCCTGACCTCCTGCACTGGACCTTCACGGACCTTGGCTTTCCGCCGTGAGCCCGGGCCAGGCCGAGAGCTGGCGCGAAGCTGCGGGCGCGAGGGCGTGTCTCTGCTAGGAGAGTCCTGCCCGTCCAGAGCTCACAGCCCGCCCAAGGCCTCGGCAGCCCGGCCACGTCTGGGTGGGCCCTGAAGTCTGTCCCACAACCTCAGCTGAGCCTGGCGCCAACAGGCCACGTCACGGGACGCGCTGCCCGCCCCCCCTCCCCCCAGAGCAGCCAAGGCCACGTCCTGCCTGGCATCCCAGCCCCCAGCGCGCCCACCCGTCCCGGGCGCCGCACAAGCGCAGCTGGCCGAGCCGCCTTCAGCATGCCCGGGCGTGCCCGCCTGCCGTCCAGGCCCACAGTTCCATGGTGCCCCTGCTGCGTGGCGTCACAGCCTGTCCCCGCTCGGGGCTGTCCACGGCTGCCCTGAGCCGGTCTGGGCTCCTCCGGGGCCCTCTGCAGCCGGGCCCTCTGGAGACAGTGGCCGCAGGGGCAGCCTCAGCCTCAACGCTGGCGCTGAGTGGGGGGAGTATTGTTCTGCTTTCCCAGCTCCAGCTCTTTTTTTAAACCAAAATTGTGTTAAAGAGACGATTTTGATGCTGGAGTAATCGAATCAGCACATGGCGCGCTGACCCCATGCCCCTGGGAGAGGCTGCACGCTGGACACCTTGTCCCGGGCCCTGGCAGTCAGCCCGAGCTGCACGCCGGCCTCCTGCCCTCAGGCTCAGGGACTCACTCCCCACGAGCCCCTGGCGCCCAGCTTCAGCTTGTGCGATCGCGAGAGCACTCTACAGCCGGACCCGGCCGGGGAGAGCGCAAGGCTTGTTGGTGAGAGAGGCCAAGGCTCTCCATCGGCAGGAGGTGCTTCGAGTCACAGAAGAGGCGGGCTTGCGCGCTGGAAGGTCCATGCAGGAGGCCGGAATGCAAAGACCCACCAGGCAGCCCACCTGGGGACAGGAACGCGGGAGGCTGCCTAGAGGATTCAGACAATGAGCCTCCCCCGCCCTACAAATCTTTTCACGCCCTACAAGCTTTTTCCCGCCTTATGAACCCAGTTTCCCGCCTGACCTCTCCTCACCCTATAAAATTTAGAGTGAATTTAGCGTGAATTTAGGGAGAAATTTAGCCTGGCTCTTCTTTACCACGCCGAACCGTTCATGCAGGCCTGACCTGCACCAGGTGGGGCAATTTACTGATAAGATGGGCGTCCGGGCCTCCCCGGTGGCACAGCAGTTGAGCGCTGGGTTGCAAAGCTGCCCGCAGCCTCTGCAGCACTAGTTCGATCCCCGGCTGCTCCCCGGCCACCGGAGGAGGGTCCCACGTGGCGCGCAGACCTCTCCTGCCGCCCGCTGCTCCCCTCAGCAGTGTACTTCGGTCCTTCTGCCTGCTCTGCTCCCCGCTCTGGCTCTGGTGAATTCTCTCACCCTCCCGCGCTTCTGACTGTACCCAGTGCATGTATAAATAAATAAATATATCTTTAAAAAAAATCAGCAGTTAACTTTTATTTAAAAGGAGTTATTTCCTTACTTCTGTTAGCCACTCTGGGACAGAAGCTGAAAGAGCAGATTCAACATCAAAGTACACATCACACCTCCCCACACGAGGGAGAAAGAGCGACCCCATAGGTATCAAATCCTGGCACAGCTGTATCATGCACTACAGCATGCTTTGCACAGCTGACCTTCCTCAGTAGGAGGCAGGATCTTAGAATCTTGTCTTACACCAGCAATCGAACAAATCCAGAATTCAAATGTCAAACATGCCCAAAACAAATGATGTAGACAAAATTCACAGCAGCAAATCCTTTCAGTTTTTTTTAAGATTTATTTATTTATGCATACAAGAATTGGGGGACAGGCCAGAGGTGTAGGGGGTGAGAGGATTCACCAGAGAGAGTGGGGGGCAGATCTACTGAAATACACACCTGAGGGGAGCAGTGGGGAGACAAGAGAGAGAGGTCTGCTGCGCCAGGTAGGTTGCTCCCCAGCAGCTAAGAATCAAACTCCCTGCTGTGGCTGCCAATAGCTTGATAGGGCTGTCTTTAAGGCTCCCTGCACTACCAGGGAGGCCCAGCAAATCTTTTTAAACTCAGATAAAATCTCTTTAATTCTTCCAATGTAGACTTTGTAAAAGCCCAAGTTATTTTTAAGAATCCATTAAAGATACCAGTAATCATCAGTTACTCCTTGAGGCTTCTTTTTCTTTTCTTTCTCACTTTTTTTAAGCCCCCCCCCCAGGCATACATTTGCTAATTTAAACCAATGTTGCTCCATGATTGGCTTGCAAACACCTCAGGCAGAGATTGGGAAGTGCATCTGCCCCGAGGAGTTTAGCAACTAGGAGAAAGAGCCAATCACAAAATAAGATGATGAGATTATAGAATAGAGGGGGGCAAAAAGCTTAACTATCCCCTAGACATGGGTCCATAAGGACATCTTTTGCCCGTTGTTGGCATCACTGCCTTAGAGTCTTTGCTTTTGTTCTTTTTCCTCTAAAGAATTTTTTTCTTGCTTTCTTGAATAAAGTTTGCTTCTCTCTGCTTACTTATCTAAAAGGTCGGTGACTTTCTTTTCATTGCCTTTAGAGATGCTAATCAGACCTGTAAGAGAGCAGAGATCACAAACAAAAGTCTAAAGTCCCAGCGACTTAAATTTAGCTGCCAAAAGATGCCACACAAATTTTCATAGGAGACCAAAAGAACAAAACCTTTGGAGTTTCTGGGAAGTCCTTTAAGTGGCCTCAGATGCCATCTTTGATCTGGCCACATCGTCCAACCCACAACCATCTTTCCAGGAAAACTGCTACACAGAACCAGTTTCACAAAATCAGACTTCTCAGCAAGTAATTGTTAGGGGGGAAAGGATGTCCTAAATCTAATCCCATGCAGGCTTTGTGGACTCCCCCCACTCCAGACCAAAGCCAAAGACACTGGGAACTCCAAATCCCGTCACCACCAAAGGGAAGGTGGCTGGGACCTGAGGATGGGGTTCAGCAGCCAGGTTTGGTATAAAGCCAGACACGTGGGCTTTGGAGGGTATCCCCCATTTTGGCTCCCTGCCAGCTCACAACGCAACCATCTCTGAGAGTGCCTTTGGGTTTCCAGGTCAGCAGACCGGGTAGGACGCATTAAAGACTTTATTTCCCTATTTTCTCCCTGAGTTGTACATTTTCTTAATTCCCTTTCCCTTGTAAATAAACCTTTTATTAACCTTTTGTGTGTGCCTGTAGTGGAGTATTAATAAGTCCCTTTTAAGCGCGCAGGTGAGGACCCACAGCCAGGCAACCTGTTTTATATCGGGGTTGCCCTATAACAGTTTGGCGCCCAACGTGGTTTCCAAGCTTCACCTGTGGTTGACCAGACGAATTGGACATGTACACACAGTTTCTACAGGGCCCAAGCCAGTTTTCCAACAGCAAATCTACACATATCTGAAACAGACACACTAGAAATGTAACAGGGGGGTCCCCAGGAAAGGGGGAGGTTCCAGGTTTCCTGCCCCACCCAATGGAGGGTGTTGCTGAGCAGGGAGAGAAGAAGCTGCAGAGGAGACTGAGGAAGGAAGGAGCAGGATGGAGCCAGAAGGAGACCTGGAGGAGGCACATGGAGCTGAGAGAAACGAGGAGAAACTGTGCCTGCCTTTTAGTGGTGGATGGGGTGACACAGATGCGGGTGAGACTCGTGGGGAGGGGACAATGGCAGCTTTTACCTTGATGTTGATTTTGCTCTTTTCCTTCCGGGCTTGTCTGGTTGTTTCTGACCCTTTTCTGTGGGTCCCCACTGGAAGATGCTTTAGACTGTGGCAGGCTTTGGGGCCCTGCTCAGGGCCAATCCCATTTGGATGGAGTTTTACCCATGAGAGGACAGGTCACTTTGGGTGCTTCATTTAGAAACTAGACTCTTTGCCTTTCCTGTATTGTTTCCTAGTTTTATTAAAGTTCCTTCCCATTAAAGTCTCATATGTCTTCTGTTGATGCGGCAGATGGCAGAACCCATTTAGAATAGGCAGGTTTGCGGGGTTTGGGCTGCCCCTCTCCCTGCCCTGTAACAGAAACCACCACATTTGTGCTGATGGTCACCAGTGACATGGAGAAGCCACTTTCCCCACAGGGCTGGCTGACCACAGATGGTTCCGTCCCGCCAGAGTCACCAAATTTGTTACAGGATAGGGAGAGGGGCACCCCAGAAACCCCAAACCTGCCTGCTCTAAATAGGTTTTGCCATCCACTGCATCAAGACAAAACATAAAAGGCCTTTTGTTATAGGGCAGCCCCGTAGGACATCCTTTCCCCTAACACTTTCATGATGTGGGAGCCGAAGTCGTTGCGTAGTTGAGCCTTTCCCCAGGAGACCCGATAGCCTGATTCTCACAAGAGTTACAGGGGCCTCCCTGGTGGCACAGGCGGTTAAGTCTCAGCACTATGAAGCTGTTGAAGCCACTGAGCACGAGCTTGGTCCCCAGTCAGGGAACTGACCCACAGGGTGCAGCAGAGTCCCGTATCCCCGCTGCTCCCCTCAGCAGTGTATTTCATTCAATCCTCCTGTTCTGCTGTCCTCTCTGTCTCTGGTGAACCCCCTGTAGCTCTGGCCTGCACCCCAACTCTTGTATGCATAAATAAATAAATCTTTAAAAAAAGTTACAGGAGCCTAAGCATCCCAGCAGGCCAGCTGGGTTTCACTAGCTAAGCAGAGATCATCAACGTACTGCAGGAGCACGCACCAGAGCTCATGCCAGAAAAGCTGCAAGATTCGCAGCAAGAGCCTCCCAGAACAAAGTTGGAGAGTAACTGAGTCTTTCCACTAGTGTGGGGGTTTTCCTATTCAAATGCAAAAGGATGCTGACTGATGGGTGTGACACTGAGACAAAAGACGGCATCTTCAAGGAGGCCTATGAGAGTCTATGAGAGTCTGTGGCTTATCCAAAAAGGCCGAGTATGTTGTTAATGACAGGGGCCTTCAGGTCTCTGGAAGGAAAGTGGTAGAGGTGGAGCAGGGGCCTTGGCTGATCGGAGGGTGGAGGGATTTCAGTCACAGGCCGGCATGGGGTTGATGGGCCAGGAGAGTTTGTAGGGATACAAGGAAGCGGCAAGTCATCCTGGTGGGGTGGGGTGGGTCACCCTGATGGATGGGTGGTAGTGGACTGAGGACTGTGGTGGCCATGCACAGCAAGGACCTGACTCTTCCTGGCCTATACTACAAATGTGGAGCCAAGTGGGTCCGGTCTGGGCAATCGTCAACCCTCCACACAGGGAGACTGATGGGGGGCCTGGGGAACCTGTGACAGCTTTCCACACCACCTGAACTATGGGGATGTCAAGAGCTCCTCCTGGAGGCCAGTTTACCTGGAAACTAGGCCACTCTACCTGGCACAGGGTTTGAAGTTTTTTGTTTGTTTGTTTTTAGGGGTTAAGGCAACCCCATAATCCTCTTGGTATCCCTTTCCTTAAAATTTTTGATCATGCAGTGACGGTCTGTGTGTTTACTCTGAGTCCCTCCTTTTGTATTTGGTGGCACGACAAGGGAAGGGGCGCACACAAGGGCACTCGTCTGGCCGCATCTCTCACGGAACCTTCGGTGTGTCTTAGCTATGGCGAGGCGGTCTACCCCCTGCGCCAGGCTGTCCCATGAATGGGCCGGTCGCCGTTGTGCTGTATGACATCCCCACAGAACCGCAGTTTCAAGCCCACTCAGTCCCCGCAGCCATAGCTGTGGAGATTTTTCACACCCCCCTCATCAGAAAACAGTCGTTTGGAAGTGATTGCATCTCCCTCCCGCGGGAGTCCCAATCTGGCCTCAAAACTGGACCCTGGGAGGTGATCAGGCTCCCCCTCCCTTCCATCCGCTGGTACGGGCCTATCCTGGGCAGGGCCCTTGGGGTCTTACTGTGTCCTGAAGCCTCTGGCGCTTTCATCCACCTCTCCCCAGAGTCCTGCAGGGTGCGGCAGCAGTGGTTGGCTGACCCCACCCAAGGAAGGAGGACCATCAAACGAAGGCAGGTGGTGCCACATCATTCTCCTCGGGGGCGGCCACGGTCACCGCCCCGACTTCAGGCCTGTGGCACAGGGACCAGCGCAGCCGGCTTCCCGGTCAGGGAACCAAAAATGTTGCCACAGAAATTCCTTCAGGAAACCAAGCATCCCTCAGAGAGGAGGAGGTAAAGTCTTTATTAACGCCGTGGGCTCAGAGGAGATCCTTCTCCACAGTCTGAGCCCCAGCAACCAGCCAAAGGATATTTATTGCCTAAAGCCAGGTCCGTTATCACTTTAAATCCAGCGGGGATGAGGAGCCTTCTAAGTGGTTATCTGGGGTGCACGAGTCAGGCGTGCGGCCTTGAGAGTGTTATCTGCTGTTCCCTGAAACGTTACAGTCTGCAGTGAGGCTTTGTTTCCACTTAGACATTTCCCACTTCATGTCCAGGACGTGTCACTCCCACGTGTTAACATGAACAAGGAGCTCAATAGGAAACAGGCAAAAAGACTTGCTGGACCTGGTACTTCAACAAAGGGATACCCCGAAAGCCAGCCACCACCAGCATTAAAAACGCGCTCAGAGTCCGTCTTTGGGGCAGCGTAAGCCAAAGGACGGTGAGAGGCGTCCCCCGCAGCTGAGTGCAGGGACCCCAGGGCCGTGGCCACGCGGCTGCCGGTGGGCAGAAAGCGGCCTCGTGATCTCTGTGCCCAACGGCCACCGCGGGCCTTGCGCTGGCTCACGAGACTGTGTGGACAGAGCAAAAAGATGTGAACTGAGTGTCCGGGGCAGCAGGGCCGCCAAGGCCGCGCCCCGCTGGCCACCACGCGTGGGCCGGTCTGACGGGCCGGCAATGGGACGTCCGCGGTGAGCGTGGCGCGGCGCCTGCAAGAGCAGGGCCTCCCTCAGCCTGTATTGGACGGAAGCCACCAGACATCCCAGGCTCCTTCTCCAGGACAATCACGGCGCCGCCAGCACCGCAGCCAGCCCGTGCCTTCAGGGGCAGGCCGCGTGCTCTTGGGAGGGTCGTGGCTGGGGAGGGCGCGAGGGCACCTGGGGCCGGCGGGCAGGCTCCACGTGCAGCCTCTCCCGAAGGCAAGTCGGGGGCGGGGGGGGAGGGCGTGTCGTCTGTGCCAGCTCCGAGGCTGCTAAGTCTCATGTGAAGCGTGAGGAAGCGTGGGGGCCGATCTACTGTGGGCACCGGCCAGGCCGTGGGCTGTGCGACCGCCCTACTGCGAAGCTTGCCTGAAGCCCAGGGTCTTCGTCAAGGCATCCTTGAACTCTTTGTTCCGCAGACAGTAGATCAGAGGGTTGATGATGGGAGTGAGCACGGTGTACACGGCCGAGATGAGCTTGTTGGAGCTCCGGGAGTCGATGGCCTCAGGCCGGACGTACATGAAGATCATGGCCGTGTAGAAGATGGTGACCACCGTGAGGTGGGAGGCGCAGGTGGAGAAGGCCTTCCAGCGGCCAGTGGCCGAGGGGATGCGCAGGACGGCCAGGGTGATGTGCCCGTAGGACAGGACGGTGGCGACGAGCGGGAACACCAGGATCATGAAGGCCAGGATGAAGTCCACCAGCTCCGCGGTGGAGAAGTCCGTGCAGGCCAGCTTGAGGATGGGGGAGATGTCGCAGAAGAAGTGGTTCAGGACGTTGGAGCCGCAGAACTTGGCGCTGGAGATGAAGTAGACCTTGATCACGGAGATGCCGAAGCCGCTGAAGAAGGAGAAGACCACGAGCCGGACGCAGAGCCCCGTGGTCATGATGACCTGGTAGCGCAGGGGGTGGCAGATGGCCACGTAGCGGTCGTAGGCCATGGAGGCCAGGAGCACGCACTCGGTGCACACCAGGGAGCTGAAGAAGTAGAGCTGCGTCATGCAGCCCACGAAGGAGATGCGGTTGTGCCGCAGCAGGAAGCCGCCCAGCATCTTGGGGATGATGTCAGACACGTACCAGACCTCCAGGCAGGACAGGGAGCACAGGAAGTAGTACATGGGCCGGTGGAGGCCCACACTGCTCCAGACGGTGACGACGATGGCCAGGTTCTCCAGCAGGATGAAGAGGTAGGTGAGCAGGAAGAGCAGGAACAGCGCGTACTGCAGCCCGGGCGCCGTGGGGAAGCCCAGCAGGATGAACGCGCTGACCTTGGTCACGTTCTCCCCCTTCATCCTCCTTGCGGGGGCCTGCGGGCAGCGTCGGGCAGGAGTGAGGGGCTGCAGGGCGGGGGGAGCCCCGTGGGGGAGTTCCACCCAAGCTGGGCCTGGCTCACGAGCAGCTGGGGGAGCGAGGACACATCCCAGCAGCAGCCAGAAATGCCCTGGGCGGTGCTTGCAGACCTGAGGGCAGAGCGGGAACCGGGGTACAGCTTTTCGGCGGCGGGGAGGGGGTCTCAGCCTGGACGAGGGGCTGGGCCAGCTGCAGCAGGGGCGGCCGGGTGGTTGGAGCTTGGGGTCTCAGGCTGCATCCCACCAGCTGGTCCCCTCCCACCCCACCCCACAGCCGCGCCAGCCACAGCAAAGGCTGGTTTCATTTACCGTCCCCAGCACGTTAGAGGCGGCAGGGCTGGGCTCAGCGGGCAGCGTCCTGGCTTGGGGAGGGCCCCCGGGGTGGCGAGCAGCTGTAACGGTCCTGCCTGCCTCCCTTGTGGGACCCCCAGACCCCTTGTTCTCGGGGATGATGTCTTGGAGCCAGAGTTCCTGCTTGTGGGGTCCTGTGGGGCGCCCACCAAGGGCAAGTGTGTGAGGAACCTGCCAGGGAGCCAGTATCGGCTGAGGACAGCAGGCGGACACGATGGCCAGGTCAGCACGATCGGCTGGACACCTCCCCGGAAAGATGAGCAGACGGTTGGGCAAGAGAGACAACACAGACACCGTGCTCTGACCAGCGGGGACAATGGCCCTGCAGCACCCCCGGTCGCCCCAGCGCCCACCCGGTAACGCGCCCACGCCCGTGCACGCCCGACGTGCTGGCCGCCTCCGCGCTGACAAACCGAGGCCCTGTGGGCGGCGCGTCACTGCCCGGCGCAGCCCCTCCAGCTCCACTCCGACCCTGACCGTCCTCCCCGCGGGGGACACCGCCTGCCATTCGGCCGCCCGCAGGGCCCGAGGGGCTGCGGCCAGTGAGCGGGTCCCCGACGCCCGGGCCATGACCGCTGCCCCCACCACACGCACGCACACACCACAAACACAGCCTCGCACACGCAGTCACAGCCACACAGCCACACCCTCACATTCACACGCCTACTAGGCGTCCACCCCCGCCGACCCCCGCTCACCCCCCACCACTGCCGCCCCCAGCTGCTCACCCCCGCACAACCCCGCACACGGAGGCCGCGGGCCGCCAGCTCCTCCGGGCAGCGCGAGCGTGGCCTCCACACCCAGACACTCCTGCAGGCGGGCAGTCCGCTCTGGAGAGGGGCCTGGGGGCCTGGGCGCTGCCAGTGCACCAGGAGCGGCTGCGGCTCTGAGGTCGCGCAGAGGGGCTCAGCGCTGGGCGCTGACGAGCAGCAGGCATGGCTGTCGGACCGGGTGCAGCTGGGGTCCCGGACACCAGCGCCGCCACCTCTCCTGCCACCCCTGGGTTGGCTGAGGTCCCCACCAGAGGTATGTGGCCTAGCCAGGGGTGGGAACAAGAATGAACCCCAGAATGTGGTGGGGCGACAAGAGGCTCCTGGGGCCGGAGTGTCCATCCTGGCGGCACCGATACAATGGTCTGGAGCCCCAGGCCAGGGTCCCACAGGGGTGTGGGCAGCCAGGCGGACCTCAGGGTCAGTGGACACGCAGCGGCCCGGCCACCCAGAGCCCCACGAACACCCCACGGCCCCGGAGGGCGCTGCCTGCAGTGGGCGCAGAGCAGGCAGGAGGCGTCCGGCAAGGGCTGGGGCTGTGGGGTGAGGATCGGCTTTCCCGCCCCCGGCACTGGCACTGGTGGTGGCCCCTGTGGCCCTGCATTCGGGCCTGATGGGGGCACCCAGAGGAGGTGTGGCGTGCAAAGGTGGGCACACCTGGGCGGAGACGGGGCTTATAGGGGTGGCGTCACGGACACAGAGACAGGGCAACAGCAGAACCAGCAGAGAAGCCGACACCACGAGAGACGCCAGGAGCCCAGAAAGGGTGAGGACCCGCGGGGGCTGGGAGGCCTGCCAGCCCCCACCCCTCCCACCCCCCCGCCAGCCGTGGGCCTGGTAAAAGCTCAATAAAAGCCTGAAAAAGCCACCGAGGGCTCGAGGACTCTCCTGTACCCGTCTGCCCGGATCACAGTGATCCTGCCCTGTGACCTCCTGCCGCTGCAGGGCCACCCCCCACAGGCAGCACCCAACTGGCTCTCAGAGGAGCCCCGGTGGCTGTCGCGCCAGAGGCCAGACCCACAGGAGGGGGCAGAGCCCCTGCCAAGGGGGACACCGGGGTCACGAGGAGGGAAGAGACGCACGTGCCAGGAGGGGCCGCTGCGGGCGGCGGCTGTGGGGCTCACACGCTGGGTCCTGCCAATGCCCCACCCTGCCCGGCCCGAGGGCCTTCTCCGGGGCACACGTGGGGTGGAGGGTGGCACCACCTCAGACCACGCAGAGCCCATCCAGGCCCTGAAGGGCAGGCGGTCATGGCCGCTCGGCCTGGCTCCCTCCCCCACGCAGGGGCCCGCCCCCACCCGCCTGCTGGCCTCAGCCGGAGGTGCACGGGCTCACCTGGGCTCACCTGGGCACCCCGGGGTGCCACCAGGACCATCTTGCGGGCCCCCACCGCCCGCCCCAGGGCCCCGCCAGAGCCCACGCTGCGCTGCTTCCCTGCTCAGACGCTCGGCTGGGGCGGGGGGCAGGGGCATGCTGGGGCTGGCTCTGCTGTCGGCCCTGACACCCCCACTCGCGCTGGCCGCCGGGCGCTGAAGGAGTTTGAGAAAATGGCCAGAGTAGGAAGGTCAGTCTAACCCGTGCCCTGAGCTGGCCGCACACCAGCTGAGGGTGCCCTCCCGGGCTCTGAGGGCGGAGCAGCCTCGTCTCCAAGACCAGGGCGGCCGAGGCGCAGGGCAGCTGAGCAGGGAGCAGGCGGGCAGCGGAACCGGCGAGCGTGCAGTGGGCGCGTCCCGCTGGCCCCCTCTCTGCTGTCCTGCCCGTCGGTTCTCAGGCCCTGCGAGGGCCCCAGGGAGACCTTCCCTCCGGCGCTGCGAGCGGCTGGTGGGGCTCGGGCCTGGCTCCTGCAGGGGGGGGCGCACAGAGCTGGCCCTTGGTGGGGCAGCTGGGGCCAGCGGGGACTCCGGCCGCACTCGACCTAGCTGAGGAGGGAAGCGGGAGGGGCGCAGGCGCAGAGGCCAGACTCGCGGGGGCACCGCCTGGGTGTCCTGGCCATGCTGTCTACGGCCGGCGGCCTGAGAGTCGAGTGAGGGAGCGTCTGGCTGAGAAGGAAGTTTCTGGAATGGAGCCGTTGGTGCAGCGCCTGCCCGGCCCGCCGTGTGTGGAGGCTCAGCCGGGCCGGGCAGCAGCCCACACGGGGTCCAGCTCCAGGGGCTGCGCCGCACCCTGGGGCTTCAGGCGCGCCGGCCACTGGCCGAGAGCTGGGCAGTGGCGGGGAAAGCGGCCCCGGGTCCTTGAGGCCGGCCGCGCCCGGCCGTGACCTCTCCCTGCCGAGCGGCCAGGCTGCGGCCTCGAGCCCCGGCGGCTCCTGGTCTGGGCTGACGGCCAAGCGGAGCCGGGCACCGGAGCCCTCGCCGGTGGCCTCTCCCGGACGCCGGACGGAGCTGCCCCCTCTCTCCTGTGGGCAGGTTGGGGCTGATCTGGGGGGGCCCGCAGACCCTCGGACACCCGCAGCATCTCACGGGCAGAGCCTCGAAGCCACGGCCGGCTCCCTCCCGCCCTTTCCTGTGGGGCCCGAGGGGGAGGGGCCGGGGGTCAGCGCCTCCCGCAGTGAGCGCCTGGGGGCTGCAGGGGCGGCCCCTGCCGCCAGCTAAGAAGGCCCCGGAGAGAAGAGTGAGCCCCCCGAGGGGAAGCCGGGGGCTCGGCAGGGCGTCCGAGTGCCCTGAGCGCCCTGGGCAAGGAGTGGCAGCGTCCTCTGCTCGCTGGGCCTGCCCGGGCAGCTGGGTGTCACGCTAGGAATTGGGGGGCGGCGCGGTAGCCCGGGGTGCACGCAGCCAGCTGCGCCGTGAGCCCTGGTCCTGCACAGCGTCAGCCGCAGCCTGGAGCTCGGGTGGCCACGGAGCTGCCCAGGCGGCAGGGCGCGCCGGGTGCTGGTGCGGCTGCGGGGGCCCCACGTCCAGGGCGGGCGTCTGCCTCGCGGCTCCTCTCCCTCCCCCCGCTCTCCCCCCACAGTGGCTCCACCGTGAGGCACACGCAGAGTCCAAGGGCACTCGCGGCGACCCGGCGGGGAAGCGCCGGCCCTACCTGGGGCTCTTGGCCCGGCCGGGAGGCGGTGGCTGCGGGCGGGAGCAGCTGCCCGTGTCCAGCGGTCCAGCCGGTGCTGCGCCCAGCGGCTCCGCACGCTCCAGACACGGCTGCCCGAGCCGCTGGGTTGGGGGGGGGCTGCGTGGCCTTTTCTGCTGGAGCGCGGGGGACCCCAGGGCCCAATTACCCAGCGCTGCCACCACTGCCCAGGCCACCAATTAGCCGTCCTGGGATCTCTGGGGCCAGGCGCCCCAGCCACGGGGGTTGCCCGGGAGAGTGCTCGCCCCGTGGCCCTTGTTTGGCCGCATCCTCGCCCGCGGGGAGCCTGGCTGTGTTCCGCCCCCGCCAGGGCCTGTCCCCGGGTGGGTCCGGCTCCCACCAGCCAGGGGCCAAGGCGGGCGGGCGGGTGTCCCATCCCGCGGGGCGGGGGCAGCGGCCGTTCTGGCGCAGCAGGGCGGGGGCCAAGCCAGAGCAGGGGTGGCCCCGCAGCGCCTCTTGTCAGCCGCGCAGCTCCCAGGTGCCCAGAGGACTCGAGTCGGGCCTTGGTCACCCCAGCTCAGAGCCCCCACTCTCCCCTTGTTCCGAGAGGGGGTCTCCTTTCTGGCCTCACCCTGACCTTCTCCCTTCTAATTCTGCTCCAGAGCCCCTCGCGGCGGCTCCCAGGACGTGCTCCTCCGGGCGGGAAGCTTCTCCCTTCACCCTCGAGGGGCTCCCCGGCTCTCGCTCAGAGGCCTAGGCCGGGGCTGCTGGGCCAGGCACCACCGGGGCTCAGAACCACAGAAGCTCTCGGCTCTCAGTCCG